CTCCTGAGGGGGAAGCTAGCAGTGTCCAGCCTCCATTGACCGACCATGGCGACAACATTCCCCTCTGGGACGCAGAACTCCGAGCTATGAAACTCCAACTACAAGGGGTCATCCAGAACATCCAGCACAAGCCCTCAGCCACCGCCAACTCGCCTTTTGTCGCCTCTATCCGCGACAAACCGTTGCCCGCCAAGTTCAAAATGCCTACCATTGACTCCTTCGATGGCACGACGGACCCAGTCGACCATCTGGAAACCTACTGCACCCTCATGATCCTCCATGCTTTCCCTGACGAGATCATGTGTCGAGCTTTTCCAGTGACACTAAAGGGATCAGCTCGATTGTGGTTTAGTCAGTTACCGGCGGACTCCGTCTCTACCTTCCAACACCTCAGTGACTCTTTCCTGAGCCACTTCATCGGGGCCCAGCGTCAGAGACGCCCAGCCACCCAACTCCTAAACATTCGTCAGACCGAGGGGGAGTCGCTCCGCAGCTTCATCACCCGCTTCAACACCGAGGCCCTTCAAGTAGCGGAGAATGACGACAAGGTCATCCTCACCGCTTTCATGGCCGGCTTGCGGTCGTCGGATTTCCTCTTCTCCCTCTCCAAAAACCCTCCAACCACCATGGCAGCCCTACTATCCAAAGCCCAGAAATATATGAATGCTGAAGATTCCCTGGCCGCTCGGCAAGAGCCCACCCCTAAAAATCCGATCCCTAGAGACAAGAGGAAAGACTCTGAACCCAGAGCCGCCCAGTATAATAGCCAAACACCCCACTATAATGACCGACCCCCCCGTGCCGACCGGTCGACTCCGACCAGACCGCCCGGTCGGTTTGAGCGATACACACCTCTCAACTCCCCTATGGAGCACGTCCTCAATCAGATCCAGCGGGACTACCTCCTCAAGTGGCCCCTACCCTCACGAAACCCTTCCACTCGAAAAGATCAGTCCAAATACTGCCGCTTCCACCAAGACCATGGTCATACCACCGATGAGTGTATTAACCTCAAAGATCAGATCGAGACCTTCATACGCCAGGGCCGCCTCAGCCGATTCACAGACACCCGCCCTCCACAGAGGCAAAGAACCGACCTCACCAGGAACAATCGCCGACAAACACCACCCCGCAATCAAGCCCCACCTAACCAAGGCCACGATCGCCCACCACCACCACAGCCTCGGCCTCCTGGTAATCCCCCCCACCAGTCGGAGAAATTCGAGTTATTTCAGGAGGCCTTGCTTGCGGGGGACCATCCCGCTCGGCTCAGAAGGCGGAACTCAGAAAAATCAGGCAGGGCTCGGACAAAGCAGTGGCGACGGTGGACCGACCTCCCAAACAGTGAAAACAGTGGATCGAACCCATCACCTTCACCGACACTGACTGTGCAGGAGTCCGTTACCCACATGATGACTCCCTTGTCATTTCCGCCATCCTCTCCAACTACAAACTCAGACGAGTCCTCATAGACAACGGTAGCTCTTCAGACATTATCTTCCTCAATTGCTTCCGCCAGCTCAAGATTGGGGAAGAAAGCTTATCTCCTCTCCAAACCCCTCTGGTCGACTTCACCGGCGACCGCGTGACCTCCATTGGCTCCATCGATCTACCTATCACCATTGGCGAGCACCCGCGGCAGACCACTAAGTTGCTCACCTTTCTTGTGGTCGACTGCCCCTCTGCTTACAACATCATCCTTGGCCGCACAGCCCTCAACGCCTTCCAAGCCATCACATCTACATATCATCTTGCCATCAAATTTCCTACCGATCTCGGTGTCGGAACTGTCAAAGGAGAACAGACCGTGGCCAGGGAGTGTTATGTCGCCTCATTCAAAGAAGTCAAGCTAAAAGAGGCCATGATCATCGAAGGGCTTGACGTTCGAGACGAGGACGAGCTGGTCAGAGGTGAACCAGTAGAGGAACTTGTTGAAGTTAACATTGATCCCACCAACCCAATCAAAACCGCCAAGATTGGCAGCCAATTACCTTCCCAAGCCAAGGCCGACCTCACTGCTCTCCTGACCAAGCACAGAGATGTATTCGCCTGGATCCATTCTGACATGCCAGGCATCGACCCCTCCTTCATAACACATCGCCTCAGCATCGAACCCCACTTTCGACCCCACCGCCAGAAGCAACGCATTTTCCATCCGGAGCGCAACATTCTTATAGCCGCCGAAGTTGACAAACTTCTCAAAGCCCAATTCATCAAAAATGTGGACTATCCTAGGTGGTTGTCCAACGTGGTCCTCGTCCGCAAACACAATGGCAACTGGCGACTCTATGTCGACTACTCCGACCTGAACCGAGCTTGTCCCAAAGACAGCTACCCCCTTCCCCGCATAGATCTGCTGGTCGACGCCACGGCCGGTCATCAAATGCTCAGCTTCATGGATGCCTTCTCTGGGTACAACCAAATCCTGATGCACGCATCTGATCGGGAGCACACATCATTTATTACCGACCGAGGTACCTACCACTACTGTGTAATGCCGTTCGGATTGAAGAATGCTGGGGCCACTTATCAGTGGCTGGTTAACGCCGTTTTCCATCACCAAATAGGTCGGAATATGGAAGTCTACGTCGACGACATGCTAGTAAAAAGCAAATACTCCTCCGATCACTTTACTGATTTACGTGAGACCTTCACCACCTTGCGCAAGTACCAGATGAAGCTTAACCCAGAGAAGTGCGCCTTCGGCGTAGGGTCTGGCAAATTTCTGGGCTTTATGGTCAGTCAGCGCGGCATTGAAGCTAACCCTGAGAAGATCAAGGCTTTGGTTGAGATGCAGTCGTCTAGGACGGTCAAAGAGGTTCAGAGACTCACCGGTCGAGTGGCGGCCCTCAACCGCTTCATCTCCCATGCGACAGATAAGTGCTTGCCCTTCTTCAAAGTTCTTCGGCAGACTTTTGAATGGACAGCTGAATCCGAAGAGGCCTTCCAACAGTTAAAGCAATGCATGGCCAACCCTCCCTTCTCTCCCAAGCAATCACGGGCGAACCCCTCTTTCTCTACCTAGCAGTATCGGGAACCGCAGTCAGTGCAGCTCTCCTCAGAGAAGATGGCTCAATCCAACGACCGGTCTATTACATTAGTCGAGCTCTCAGGGGCGCAAAACAGAACTACCCCTTGCTGGAAAAACTGTCCCTGGCCTTGGTCATTGCCTCCAGACGACTCCGCCCATACTTCCAAGCCCACTCCATAGTGGTCCTCACCGACCAGCCCCTGAAGAAAGTCATGCAGCAACCAGAACTCTCAGGTAGACTGATGCAGTGGTCCGTAGAACTCAGCCAGTTTGACATCTTTTACTGCCCTCGGACAGCGATCAAGGGGCAGGCTGTAGCTGACTTCATCATGGAGTTCACCAAGCCAACCCCAACCACTACACCTCCGCCCCTACCAACTCCAACAGAGCCAGAAGATCCTCATTCTTGAACTCTTAATGTCGACGGTTCGTCCCGAAGAGAAGGAAGTGGTGCCAGCCTCATCCTCACCTCCCCTGAGGGCGGCTACTTCAAATGTGCCCTCCGTTTCTTGTTTGAAGTAAGCAACAATGAAGCCGAGTACGAGGCATTAATAGCAGAACTCCACCTTGCCAGGGACATAGGGGTCAGCCACCTCCGAGTATTCAGCGACTCCCAACTCGTCGTTGGTCAGATGACGGGAGACTTTGATGCTAAGGAAGACACGATGCGAGCTTATAGGGCCCTGGCACTCCCCCTTACTCGCCTCTTCAATACCTTCCACATTAGGCAAATTCCTCGGGCGGAAAACTCCAAAGCAGATGAGATGGCTCAGTTGGCCTCTGCTGACCATCCTACTCTCAGCCATGATGTCCGCGTCGAATATCTACACCACCCAGCCATTTCACCCGATCTGCAAGCTGTACAATACATCCAAAACGAACCCATCCCTTGGGCATCCGACATTCTCCTATTCTTGACCACAGGAGCACTCCCAGATGACCAACAGCAGGCTGCCAAAGTCCGATCCCGAGCGTCCAATTACGTCATTGTCGACGGTATATTGTACAAGCGCGGTTTCTCCCGGCCATATCTACGGTGCCTCAATCCAGCGCAAGCAACTTATGTAATGCAGGAGATCCATGAGGGAATTTGTGGTAATCACTCAGGTGGCAGGTCCCTTGCCCAAAAGATACTCCGTACTGGGTACTTTTGGCCAACTCTTAATCAGGATGCGATCGACTTCGTGCTCAAATGCGATAAATGTCAACGCTTTGCCAACATCCCTCATGCTCCTTCTACAGAGTTAATCACACTCTGCAGCCCTTATCCGTTTGCCAAGTGGGGGATCGACCTGGTTGGTCCACTTCCCACCGGTCGAGGCCAGACCAAGTTCGCGATTGTCGCCATTGATTACTTCACCAAGTGGGTCGAGGCTGAACCCCTTGCCACAATCACTGAGCGGAACACCACCAGGTTTATCTGGCAGTCGATTATTTGCCAATTTGGCATCCCTCAAGCCATCATCTCCGACAATGGCAAACAGTTCGATAACGCAAAGTATAGGAAATTTTGTGCAGATCTCCAGATTCAACCATGCTTCTCCTCCCCCGGTCACCCCCAAGCAAACGGCCAGGTTGAGGTCACCAACCGTTCCCTTCTGAAAATCATCAAAACCAAGCTCGAAGCTGCTAAAGGCCTTTGGGCTGAGGAACTACCAAACGTACTCTGGGTTTACCGAACCACTGCTCGCACTCCCACTGGTGAAACCCCTTTCTGCTTAACATATGGCGCTGAGGCGGTTATTCTGGTAGAAGTCGGTTTGCCCACTCCCAGGGTTTTATATCCGGATCTGGCCGCAGCCGAAGAACTCCATCGAACAGACTTGGACCTCGTCGAAGAACTCAGAGAGACAGCTGCTGTTAGATTGGCTTCGTACCAGCAGAAAATGCGAACACACTATAACCGCCGAGTTTGACCACGAGAGTTCTCCGTAGGGGACCTCGTCTTACGACAAATGACTCTTGCTACAAAGAATCCAACCGAGGGTAAACTGGCAGCAAAATGGGAGGGGCCCTACGTTGTGAAGACCCGACCACGACCAGGCACTTACCGACTTCAAGACATCGAACATTTGAAGCGTTACTATCAATAAATTCATATTTTTGTATTGTCAATATTGTTGTATTTCCCTTTTTATACATAATGCAAACCCCGACTGGTAACCTCGGCTTTTATAATTCAACTGTCTCTATGTCGCTCCCATAACTTTTTCACTTGCAGCATTCAAAAGCCTCAGCTAAACTGAGCACTTCAAAGCCTCGGCCAGACCGAGCACTTCAAAAAGCCTCGGCCAGACCAAGCACTTCAAAAGCCTCAGCCAGACCAAGCACTTCAAAGCCTCAGCCAGACTGAGCACTTCAAAGCCTCGGCCAGACCGAGCACTTCAAAAGCCTCAGCCAGACTAAGCACTTCAAAGCCTCGGCAAGATCGAGCACTTCAAAAACCTCAACCAGACTGAGCACTTCAAAGCCTCGGCCAGACCGAGCACTTCAAAGCCTCAGCCAGACTGAGCACTTCAAAGCCTCGGCCAGACCGCGCACTTCAAAGCCTCAGCCAAACTGAGCACTTCAAAACCTCGGCCAGACCGAGCACTTCAAAAGCCTCAGCCAGACTGACCACTTCAAAGCCTCGGCCAGACCGAGCACTTCAAAAGCCTCAACCAGGCTGAGCACTTTAAAGCCAAGCAGAACCACATTTTTAACACTTAGTCACATTTTGAAGCTTCTTCACAGTTCCAGGACCACGTTTTCACCTAGTTAAATTCCCAACATACTCTCACGTATTTCATTCATTAATCAGATTATTTGCCAACTGTTTAGTTACAATTTGTAACCTGCCTCTTGCCCTCATCCGCGGATTCTTCATCCGTGCTTAATATTATGTTCTACAATTTCCTACTCCAATTTTTCAATTATCCTTTCAATTTTTCAATCAAACACTATTATCCCTTCAATTTTCATTTTAACTTTCACTTTACACGATATTTTTATTGACCCAATCTTTATGACCAGTTTTTATCACAACACTTCATTCATTCTGGCAACATAAGCAAAATAAACAAAATTCAACTGGCAACATAAACCAAATAACCTTTGTACACAAATTCATTACAATTAAATTTTTCATACATTCATTCATTCACTCACTCCTTTACAATGTGTTCACAAGTTCAAAAAAAAAAAAAAAAAACACGCAAACACAGAGCACGCCCAGTTGTTCTTCTCCTTGGCTACTCCTCCTCGCTAGATGCCAGATCCTCTTCTTCAATGCCTTCGTCCAGGGGGGTCTGGGCCACATCATCTTCACCTATCGTTACACTACTAAGGTCCAAGTGTGGGAACAGCTCTTCAGCTCTGCGCTTGAACATCTTCCAACCGCTGTCCCAGAACTCGGCCATTTCGTGCTTATAGAAGTCTGTCTGCTGAAAGCTTTCAATCACCTCTGCCTCTGTCCTACCTCCAGCAATCTTCCTTGATGGGCCCACCCCCCCAGACTCTTGCCCAGCCAGACTCCTGGCGACAGCGGCGTCTACCACCATTTGAAATTCGGAGGACCCTTTATATTGCTCCACTACTGCGACGCACAGATCAGGGTAAGTCGCTTTTTCAGACGCCGCCTTCGCCCTCTCCTCGTCCAGCTCTCTTTGCAGGGCCCCCCTTTCAGCAGCCGCCGTCGCCCTCTCCTCTTCCACCCCCTTCTTCAGACTCTCCAGCTCCGCCACCGCCTTCGCCTTCTCTATCTCCCACTCCCTCAGAAGCCTCCCCTTCTCCTCCTCTGCTCTGGCGCACTCCTCCCCCAACTCCTTTGACAGATCTCCAATTCTGGAATCTGCTTCATCTTTTTGCCTGACCAGCTCTTCATTGCTGGTCATGGCCTTTTCATGCCGCTCGACTGCCACGGCGCAGGCCCTTTCAGACTCTTCCAACTTTTTCTGTTCACCAGCCAGTTGGAACTCGAGCGACACGACCTTACGGTGTGTGTCCTCCAGTTCCAACTTGACTGCTGGCAGATCGGTATGGGCAATCTTCCAGTCGGCACTGTCCTTCTTCAATTTGGCCAACTGGGCCCTGGCCTCCTCAGCCTTCAACTTGGCAGCCCCCGCCTTCCTAAGGAGGGCCCCTGCCAAGGTAGTTACCTCCATTTGGGCGGAGCATAACCCCCTCAGCAGGTCGGCCTCATTATATCCTGATGCCACGCGCAGAGCTGTCTCCTCCATAATCTTCACCAGGCGGTCTGCCCCCGCCCTGGCTGGGCCTTCTTCTCCCTCCAACCTTCCAGCTACCGCGCGCGCATGGTAGATCGCCGTAGCCAGACGAACCCCCCCTTCCTGGGGGTCAGGCCTCTTCTGGACCTGTTCCCTTCCGCTCGGCACCGCCTCAGTTACCCCAGCCTCCACTTGCACTGATGGAGCAATCTCCACAACCTCCACCGTTGGGATGATCTCCACCACCTCTGGGGCGTCCTTTGCCACAGGGACCTCCACCTCAGTTGGGGCCACCTTAGCCCTCTTGGGCCCAGACTCATCTGCGGCTTCCTCTGGGGTACTCCTCTTCTTCTTCTTCTTCTTTTTCAGAGCCTCCCCCCCCCTTTCTGGCCCTTTCTTTTACAGGGTCTACAGGCGGCGGCCGCGGCTCAAAACTGCTTAAGTCTTTTTCCCCCAACGGCCTTGGGCGCGGTCGGATCCTCTCCCGCGCGATCGGTTGAGGCGGTCGGTCCCTCTGCGCCTCCATCAACTTCTTGGCCTTGGCCATAACGGCTCGGTCCTCTACCTCCTGCGCTCTCCTCCTCTCCTCCAATTCGCTCGCCGAGTCCCCGCTTTTGGCTGCGGTCCAGCCCCGTCTCAAACAATGCAGACGGTTGGACAAGCTCGTCCCATTTGGCCTTCTCTTCTCTCTTTCCACTCCTTCACTCTCTTCACCCTCTCTTCCGCCATCGCCTAGTCTCGACTCCATCGACCTAGTTGGCACCTTCTAGATGGTGGCGCCCCCCATTCCCCTATTAACTGACACGTAGAACCACCGCGGCCGCCACCCCTTGATCGACGTAGGCAGCCCGCCACCAATCCCCTCCCCATCACCGCCTGTAGGGTGACCCAAGTTTCTTGCTGCCCCGACGCCTTGTAACACGAAAAGAACTATGGCCTCCCCCCATTCGCCTTAGGCCACGCACTCGCACAGGCCAGCAGAATCTTCCATGCATTGGGCATCAATTGCCCCGGCGCTACCTCCAGACGATTCAGCACGTCAACCACCACTTAAGGCAGTGGCAACTCAGCCCACCTTTAAGTGCTCCTCCGTACAGGGAAAACTTCCCTGGCCTCGCAGTAGACGACCTTCCCTTGATGTTGGCAGCAGTAACTCTACTCCGCCGGAATCTGTACCGTTCCCTGATAACCTCCAAATCCGCCGCCGTGAGTGTGGATTTGTCCGCCTTAGTGTGCCACTGATCTGGTTCTACCTGCTTTAGTGGCTTTGGAGCCAATATCAGGGCCGACGCCTGCGATTCTCCCACCGCTTCCCCCACCCCCGCCCCCCCATCCGTGTCTCGCCCTGTATCGCGTTGCTAACTACCTCCGCATCATCATCTCCCAGCGGGTCCACCCTCACATCGACTACTTCTTCTTGTGCCATTGCTAGGGTTTGCTTACAAATCACTTCTGACGCAGGAGCAAGGAAGTTGAGAGAATGCTACACAGGTGCGTCGTACGCAGTGAAGGAATTAACACTTGGATTTTTTGAGTTCCTGAAAAATGGTAGGTGAAACGCATCAATCCAACACCCACGGTTTACCCGTATTCCATGGATCCACATTAATTTTCGCCCGTTTCAAAAACTTTCAAATCAACCGCCAAAGCCGCCTTTTCAAAACCCCACTCGTGACCTATCGTTTCATTTCTGCTCCAACGCTTCACTTCCCACGATATTACCATGTTGTATGGCCCGATGCACTGTCCCCTCCCCTTCCCCTGTCCTTTCCATTTCAAATCATCACATGGCCCCACCCTACCCCCTCTCTTTTTGAGCCCCGCACCGTCCTGGTCGGCACGCCTCTCGGTCGACCCCTCTCGCTCGGCCACCCTCGCGGTCGGCACGCCTCTCGGTCGACATCTCCCGCTCGGCCACCCTCGCGGTCGGCACGCCTCTCGGTCGACATCTCCCGCTCGGCCACCCTCGCGGTCGGCACGCCTCTCGGTCGACATCTCCCGCTCGGCCACCCTCGCGGTCGGCACGCCTCTCGGTCGACATCTCCCGCTCGGCCACCCTCGCGGTCGGCACGCCTCTCGGTCGACCCCTCCCGCTCGGTCACCCTGGCGATCGTCACGGCTTCCCGTCGACCTCTCCACTCGGTTTGAACTTCCCTTCCTTATTACTATTTCCTTCGTTGGACTAAAGCTGCACTCGGAAATGGGAGACCACTGACATGGACAGGCCCACGAGGCACAGGGCCCACAGCAAACCACCCCGAACCCATCGCTTAGGACCAATAGCATAACCCGGTTGGCAAAGCCTAGGACAGCTGGAGGCCATCTAGACATGGGGGGCCAATGGCATTCGGGCACATGGTAGGTGGAACACGGGCCACATCAGCAGACAAAGATCTGCAGAGTTATTACCACAACACATCACCATTAATGCATCCCATCACAGCATTTATTACGACAACACCTCCCCATCGGAACAGAGCCCCCTCACCCTGAACAAGGTAAGCTACGGCACAGGCTTTCGGCGGCAGGGGGGCACGTCACAAGGGGCAGTGAAATGATTAGCAAAGGATATAAGCAAGGATAGAAAGACAAGAGAAAGGTTAAGCTTTTGATCCCTCTCTCTCTCTCTCTCTACATTTTCCTACTTCCTCTACCAATTCTCACATCGGAGGGTTCACTGGGGGACGACCCCGTTCCCCTTTGGACTTGCATGCAGGTCATTTGACGGAATCATCACCCAAAACCGGAACTCGAAGAGCCTGGGCCAGCCCAACCCATCCACCCGGGATGGACAGTATCATCAGTAATTATTTTAAAATTAAATATTATGAGAGTTTCAAAATCTTATATACAATTATTTTTAAAATCAAAACGTTTATGTGGAATTGTAAAGAAAAGTTAAATAGAAGCTAATCAATGGAGATTTTCTTAATTGTTTAAAATTAAGAATATAAAAAAAAAAAAATTAGTATTGATTATAGGGCTTCTTACTAAAAATCTTCTTTTGCTTATATAAATGGGAGTATAAGATTCACTTTATATAAGTGAAACAATTCAATTTTTCCTTCTTTTTCCCAATGTGGAATTGTAAAATAAAAGTTAAATAGAAACTAACCAATGGGGATTTTTTTAATTGTTTAAAATTAAGAAATTTCAATATTTATATAAATTGGAGTATAAGATTCACTTTATGTAAATGAAACAATTCACTTTTTCTTCTCTTCCCCCGATTTGGGATTGTAAAATAAAAGGTAAATAGAAGCTAGCCAATGAGAATTTTCTTAATTGTTTAAAATTAAGAAAATTCAATAATTTTAGAATAAGAGTTTGGAGCTTCTAAAAGGCTTCTCCCTTAAAACCCCATTATAAGATTCATTTTATATAAGTGAAACAATACATTTTTTTTTTCTGATGTGGGATTGTAACACTTTATATAAGTGAAACAATTCTTTTTTTCTTTCTTTTCTCAATATGGGATTGTAATTATTTTAAAGTTAAATATTATGAGAGTTTCAAAATCTCATACAAAATTATTTTTAAAATCAAAATTATATGGGATTGTAAAATAAAAGTTAAATAGAAGCTAATCAAGGGGGATTATCTTAATTGTTTTTAAAAAAAAATGAGTATGAGATATTGATCATAGGGCTTTTCACTAAAAATCTCATTTTGTTTATATAAATGGAAACATAAGATTTACTTTATATAAGTGAAACAATTCACTTTTTCTTTATTTTTTCAATGTGAGATTGTAAAATATAAGGTAAATGGAAGCTAACCAACGTGAATTTTCTTAATTGTTTAAAATTAAGAAAATTTAATAATTTTAGAATAAGGGTTTGGAGCTCCTAGAAGGTTTTTCCCTAAAAATCTCATTTTTCTTATATAATATATAGATAGATAGTGAAAAAAAACTTTGCTTTTTCTTCTTCTCCTGATATAGGATTATAAAATAAATCATAAACTAATTAGAGTTTTATTTTTATATGGTTATATGGAAGTTAGCCAATGATTTTTTTTTAATTTTTTAAAATTACTAAAATCATTATGAGAAATTGTGATTAAACCAGCGAATTGGTCAAATCCAAAATGGTTCAGCCTAATCGGCGATACTTCAATGAATTTTGGACGATACTCCAATAACTTTCTGGTGATGTTTAGCATTTCGGCGAGTCTCTAGTGACTGTTTGACAGAAGTTCGGCGGCGGTGTGATATAGTAGTGTCTTTAAATTTAAACGAAAAAAGATTTTTTTAGTAATAATTAAAATTATGTAAAGCTAAATGGTACAAATATTTTAAATAGATTTATATATGGAATTTGCCAATAAATGGCTTCCCTCTCCCTTTTTTTTTTTGGGCAAATTACATATACCTCTCTCGAGATTTGGCTAAATTACAGATACCCCTGAGGTTTGAGAAATTACAAATTCTCCCCTGAATGCTATATTTGCATAACAAATTAGGGGCTAATTTGTTATGAAATATAAACCTCAGGGAGTAAATTGTTATGAAAATACAAACCTCAGGGAGCGGGATGTAATTTCCGAAACCTCAAGGGATATCTGTAATTTAACTAAACCTTGAGGGAAGTATATGTAATTTGTTTTTTCTTTTTTTTCTTTTTCCAAGTTTAGTAACCCTGTGATTTCTCTTTCCCGTGTCACACCTCTAATCTCAGACCTACACATTTAAATCAAACAACAAATACTTACAATCAGACCACCACCAAAAAGAAAGAAGAAAAAATTGAAAGTCATGGTTTTAGTTCATGACTCTAGACAATGATGGCAAAAATCAATCCGTCCGCTAGTCCTCGATTGGATCCGAGGTCTTTCGCATCCTCAAAGAGGGTGAGGTCACAAGTGTCAACTTTTGTCAATTTCATCCTTAAATAGTGTTGGTCTATGTTTAAATAAGAACATTGTTGGAGTTACCAACAAAAATCACTTAAAAAATTAAGGCTCCGTTTGGTGGAGTTTTCAAAATCTAGTTCCACACTCACTTTTGAGTGTGGTGTTTGTTTAGGGTTTTCAAATCATAATTCTACACTCATTTCTCAAAACTCAATTCAAAACATAATCATTACTTTTCAAAACTCATAACCAAACACATAATTCAAAACTCTTTTCAAAACTCCATTCAAATCAATATTTTAAAAATATTTTAATTTTGTTAAAGACAGATAAAGAAGAGAGTTTAAATATGTTACGATTAAAAATTTTAAATATTTTAATATTTAAATATGTTAAATTTTTTAAATTTTTTAATTTTTTTAATTTTTTGAATATTTTTTAAATATTACGATTTTAATTTTTTAAATTTTTAAATATTTTATAAAAATAAATTAAACCTATTTTATAAAAAATATTTTTAATATTTTATTTTTTTGTTATGTATTTGGTTAACGATTTTGAGTGTAGAGTTGTGAAGTATATGGAGTTTGAGTTATGTGTTTGGTTATAGTTTTAAAGATAATTTTTTAATTGGTTTTGTTTTATTTGTGTTGGTTACGATTTGAGTTAGAGTTTGTTTTTAAATTTAAAATATTAAAATTTTAAAATTATTTTAATTTTTTAAAATAATTTAAAATTATTTAATTTTACGATTTAAATTTTTGAATATTTATTTAATTTTTTAACTTATTAAATTTTTTAAAGATTATTTAACTATTTAAATACTTTTATAATTTAATTTTTTGAATATTTATTTTGAAAAAACATTAATTCCTTTGTAGTAATTTTTCCAATTAAAAAATTGATTAATGTTATTTTTTGTTAATAATATTTTTTTAAATATGAATTTTAAAGAGTTTGGTTATGATGTGTCTTTTTAATTGTGAAGTAACTATGGTATTGTTTGAGTTTAATAACCAATTTGAATTAAGTTTTTGAAAACTCTTATTCAAACACTCATAAACCAAACAAATTTTTCTTACTCGCATGTCAAATCAAACTTTCAAAAACTCAATTCACCTCAAATTCACCACTTTATTCAAAAACCAAACCAAACAAATTTTACACTCAAAATCATAATTCTAACAACAAACTCAAAATTACCAACTCATATTCTCAAATCATAGTTACAAAACTTCACCAACGGAAGCCTAAAGTTTTTAAAACCAGATCCACCGGCTGATCCAATTAAACCGATTGAATCTGGGAGGGTGGCGATCGGCTGAGGTTTCTCACTTGGGTAAGACCCCCTTAAACCGGAGGTTCAAAAAAAAAAATAAATATCATATATATAATAGCTATAGGAATATATTATATATATATTTAAAGAGCAATCGGCCTAAATTCGGTGATTTAACCGTGTACCGGTTAAGCGCCGTTCATGCGTTCAATTGAACCGGACCGGTTTCGCTGAAGTGACCAGTAATAAGTAAAGAATTATATTATTATATATTTTATTCTTTTTATTTATTTTTTTTTCAGAAATC